TTCTTTTTGTAAATATTTGTATTTTTTATTTTTACAACAATTTTATTTTTCTTTTAGTGTGTTCATAGTTCTCTCAACATGACATCTAGGGATGAAATATCCGGAGATAAGGTTATTGTTGAAGACACTTGATTGACGGAAGACTTTTATGGCTCGTCTTTTTGGGCTTGTCATGACCTGAACTCTACGAGATATGAATTTGAATATGAGAGTAAGGGTTGGTATTGGGATGGATATTCATGATTAAGGGAATATACGGAACGACGTTATCTTCTAACAAAGTTGGTGAATGATTGGTCAAAGGGAATAGTTGATCTTGCACAAGAAATTAACAAGTTTGGCTTGGCTTTGCACAACTTGGATACAGATTTGAGGTCAAAGGTTGATGCGTTCAACACCCAACAATTTAATAATGATTTGTGTGAAACTTAAAAAAAAAATCTTCTAGACCAAATTGAGGAGCTAAAATGAGAATACCAATCATTAAACCATATTTTTCTTGAGGATGCCAATGTTGAGAAGAGTGTTCTAGAGTCATGTGAGGAAGTAGATAATGTTATATTTGAAGACTTTAGTGTGTGTACATATGAGGATGTAAATAGTAACGCAATTCTAGAGTGGGAACGCATTGGTCCTCATTCCATCCATTTTTCAACATTGTGTTTGGATGATGATATGGTAATTGAGTCATTCGAGCCTTTGGAGGAGCCAACAGATGAGGAACAAGGTGCTTATATTCTAGAATTTATCCCACCACCTAGCGAGCATAGAAAAAAGCTTGACGCCAAATTGGGGGCTCAATTCATAAGTTCGAGGTAGAGGCAAAAAGTAGTTCAAGTCGTGCCGCGACGTTAAATCAGGCGCTTGTTGGGAGTCAACCCAACTTTACTGCTTCATTTATTTTTACTTTTGTAATATTTTTTTTCTTGTATTATTTGTTTCTATTTTGTAGGATTACAAGTATAGGAAACAAAGCCATTGGATGGGTGTAAAAGTGAGCTAGATGGTGAGAACTAAGTGTGGGGTGCCCACACAAAGAACCATGCTTGAGGGAAGTCTGAGTACCTCGTGACATGTGATTGCTTCGGCCTTTTGCCTTTCAGGGAGTTTCTTTTTCACCTTTGTTATTGTTTTGTTTTATTTGTACATTGGGGACACTGTACTCTTTTAAGTGTGGGGTGGAAGAATTCCTCTAGATAATTAGTAGTAGTATGTTAGTAAAAATGTTAACTTCTTATTTTGATTTTTGTTTCTTATTTTTGTTTTCGTAGTTGTGTAGTATTTAGTAGTTTAATTTTTTTTATGTGAAAAATAAGAAAAATTGAAAAAAAAGTAGAAAAATTTAACTTTTCCTGACGATGGATCTCCTAGACAGTTTGAGGGATTAAAGTCTAAAAAAAATCCAAAAATATGTCTTTTAGTTTCCTTTAGGTTGTAACAATCACCCGTGATTTTTCTTTGTACCTCGGTTCTTTTCCATGGGATGTAGTTTGAACTGGGCAGTAGTTTTATTTTTTAGAATAGGACTTAGGAAAAAATGAAGGAAGAAAGATGAGATTCCTAGATGCCTTTGGCTTATTTGATAGTAGCATATTTAGGATTTCACATGTGTAGCATCTTCCCTATGTTTTGAAATTGTCCATGATGCCTTTAAAAATTGGATTGCACGTCTCGTGACGCCTATGTCTCATATTCTTGACTTATGTTCACTTTGTGCTTAATGCTTAATATCTTGTGGCTCTGTGAATACTTGCATTAGTTTGAGAGTCGGAGTGAGACCATCCTTAGTGAGTCATGTGCCATATGTAAACTGAGATATTTGTGTAGTCCATGCCATTGTACTTGTGTCTAGAACTTGCCGGTATGTGAGTCGAAGCAAAATTTTAGGTGAAACTCGGTTTAAAAAATGAATTTAGGTTGTCTTTGTTCTTTTTGAGCTTAATGTTAACCACAAATAAAATCTACCCCTAGTTAACCATTTTGAGCCTATAGACTTTTAATTGGCACCCATATTACGAGCCTATACCCTTTTTATTCTTAATTGATATTGTTTTTATCCTTTTACCTCTTAAAGCACTTTAATTGTGAAAATGAGCGCTAAAAGAAGTAAGGAGAGAATTTGGGTGGCTTTCGAGTGGAATCAATGAAAGGAAGAAATGTGCACTTATTTTGTAAAAGAATACACCATTAGTGAAAATTGTAAAGAAAAAAAAAATTGAAAAAAGGAGAAGGAAATATATATATATGAATAAATTGATATCTTGTTCTTGCTAGTGGATATGAATTAAATTAGTGCCTAAAGAAAGAGGGAACGTTGTTGGGGATGATTTTAGTTGTGAAATTGAAGTTGGGATTGAAGAATATGCGCGTAAACTTAATCATGTGATGTATTAAAATGCTTAGGGGGGTTAGTCACTATTCCTAAATATATCTTACCGGTCCCTTAGCCCACATAACAACCATGAAAAAGTCCTAATTAATTTTAGATCGAGCGAGCCTACATTAGTAGAGATTTACATTAAGGGTAAGCCTATGGTACCAATTGCATGCATGTGACTTCTTTTGTGAGAGTGAGTGATTTGCTTTGATATATATGAGTCCTTAAAATATATTTGAACATTTGATTTGAATGTGTGGATTCAACTTACTCTTTTGTTCTTGTTGTGAGGGCACATGGTTTCATGGGGGATAGGTAACATTATTAGACTTCTCTAGAATGTTGGGTGTTCAAGCCATGAGTGCCTGGTGACATTGAGCCAGTTATTGAGGCTAGAACTGTTATGAGCATATTGTCTTTGTTGTAAATATTTTTTGAGAATGGCAAAAGTTAAAGGGAAGTGTGTTCTTAATGCATATGCTACAGTTTAATTGTTTTTATCAAACATGGTCATTGGTGTAGTGTGATTCAAATGTTTAAATATAAAGTGCTCAAAGATAGAGTAAATTGTTGGTTGCTCTAGGACGAGCAAGAGCTTAAGTGTGGGGTGGTGATGTTTGGCTAAGAATTCATATTTTTGCATGTAATTTTCCGTGCATTATGCCTCGATCTTGTTAACTTTGGTGTGAATATTTGTGACTAAACCTTAATAATGTTATTTCTACGTGTAGGAGTAAATTGGAAGTGATTTGGGGAGTTTGCATGCAAATTAACGTCAAAAAGGGAAGAATTTGGAGGAAGTATAAGTTTGGTGCCCAGGTTGGCGCTAGGCACCAAATAAAACACCGTGAAGAGCATGCTAAAATATTCACTGTCCAGGTTGATGCTAGGTACCAACCAAAATGCCAAAATCAGAAGACCAAAAATGTTTGTTGTCCTGGCTGGCGCCAGGCACCAAGCGAAATGCCAACAGGCGGATGTTTTCCTAATTCGGTCGGGACTTGGGGATTTCAACTCTAAACATCCCCAACATGTATAAAAGGGGTTCTAAACCTATTTTTAGGGAAGGGGACATATTTTGGACGAAGGAGCGAACATACCTTTGGACCAAGGGAGAGCACGGAGCCGCCGTGGAGGCCGGAATTCATCAGATTCAATCTTTCTTCCATCAAACTTAGTAATCTTTATGTTTTTTGGATGATTTGTTATTTTGCTACCATATCTATGTGGAGTTAAACTTTGCATTCTAGGGTTTGGTTTGTCATGAATATTGAAGTTTATTAATTACATTATCGTTAATTCAAGTTAACATCTTTGGTTGTTTCTCTAATTCTGTGCATAATTGCTTAATTGTTTGGCAAGCAGTTGAGTTCTATTAACTATCTATGCTATGCTAGGGAAAGTCATGTTTAGATTAGAGTAGAATTAGAGAGAGATTATTTCTGAACCTGTGGCTCGGGGAAAGATTTCGCGGTTAGGATAGGAATATACCTCACAGTCTTGCTTAGTTGAGTACCGTATTATATTCGTTCATGATAGATTCAATACCAAAGGAATATATGGTTGATATATTATGGATAGACAAATAGTATTGTGGGAACATGCTATTTATATAAACGATCCGGCCAACTAGCAATCATAGATAATTCTGATTAACATGTGTAATTACAAACTCAATATGATTGATAAACCGACCACAATGCTGGAATCTATATCTCCCTTGATTACGTGTTTAAATTTCGCAATAGTAGTTTAGTAGAAAAATAAATTTTTTGATTATCTTGAACACTAAATTGATTTTAGTCTTCTTAGTTAATGATTAATCTAAGTCTCTTTGGGTTCGGCATCCTACTTTCGAGTCACTTTATTGCTTGACGGCCACCTATACTTGCATGTACTTGGGGAACCAACACAGTTGAACATTGGTCCCTCCAGCATTCATAAATGTCTTCCAAACCCTAGAAGCAGTAGTACTTGTCAAGAACAAATGCTCAAAAGACTATTGTGTAGGTTGACAACACCAACACCTAGAAACACATATGTATCCTTGCCTTCTCCATAAATCATCAGTGGCCGGTTTGCCGCTCCATAGCCTCCAAAGAAAGAATAAAATCTTGAATGACAACCACTTAATTCATATATGCTTGTATTATGGATTAGGGTTTGCTTTATGTCTCACTATATTCCATGCACTACTCACTGTAAACTTACCTGAAGCAGTAGGTTTCCACAAAGGTCTATCTCAGTAGCCAGAACTGCCTTCAAATTGCGCCTTTTGTTTAATATGTTCAGTTATATCTTCAGGGATAGTTTGGTCAATCGGCTCCTCATTCCAGATAGCTTCTTGCCTCAATTATGCCACTTCTTACAATTCCTCATTGATGTGAAACTCAGGTGGCACCAAGTGGTATAGTGCCCCTAAGCCTGTCCAATTTTCATGCCATGCATTTGTTGTACCACTCTTCATCTCCCACAGTATATCATGCTCCAGTCCTTCCCTTTTATTTAACATCTACCTCCACACATGAGATCCTTCCCTAAATTGCACTATTGTAGGAATCTCTTTATTGCAATACTTGTTCCACATAAAGTTAGACCACAATGACTTGGTTATTCTGAATCTCTACCAAAGCTTAGAAAATAAAGCTCTAGAGATATCATGTAGAGATCTGAACCCTAATCCACCCTCTTCCTCAGGAAGGCATAACTTCTGCCAAGAAGCCCAATGCCAACCTCTACCTTCCTCTTTTGTACTCCAAAAGAATCTTGCAAACATCTTGTGCAAATATTCAATAATGTTATCTGGAGGATCAAGTACTGATAGAAAATGTACTGGCATACTTTGCAACACACTAGAGATGAGTGTTGCCTTGCCCCCAAATGATAGTAATTTACCTTTCCAAGAATGAAGCTTAGCTTTCACCTTCTTTATGAGATCATTATAGTAATCTTTCCTTCTTCTAGTGTAAAATATAGGGCATCCCAAGTAGGTAAAAGGAAACTCCCCTCTAGCAAAACCTATAGCATCTCCTACTTCTTGAAACAAAGAATTGACAGCTTTGACATGCATATAGTATGAACTCTTAGCTTTGTTAATCAACTGTCCAGAAATCCTCTCATAGCTTCCCAATATTGTCATCACCTTCTTCAAAGAGTCTGAATGAGCCGAGGCACAGATGATAGTATTTTCAGCATATGCCAAATGATTTAGTGGTTCGAACCACTTAGGCATACCAAACCATACAAAGCTTTTGTCTTCAAACAACTTGTTCAAGGACATAGATAGCACTACCGCTGAGAACCCCTCTTGTGGACTTGACGAACCCTGAAGTCTGACCATTCACCAACACTGAGTATCAAATATTTGATAATAAGTTTCACACCATGTTAATGAAATGCTCAGCAAATCCCATCTTTCTTAAAACTTGTATCAAATACTATGAAGATACCCTATCATAAGCCTTAGCCATGTCCAACTTAATCACAACATTAGCAGGCTTAGCTCTCAGTCTTTTATCAGTTACTATCTCCTATGTGAGAAGAATATTTTCAAAGATACTCCTACCCTTCACAAATCTTGATTGATTAGGAGAGATCAAGGCAGGCAGTAACGTCTCCAACTATCATGTAGCACCCTGGATATCACCTTGTAGATGAAGTTGCTCAAGCTTATAGGTCTGAGATCAGAGAATGTTTGCACCATAGGTTTCTTAGGCAGCAACACCAACTTAGTGTGTGTGATGGACTTTGGCAGTGTAGCACCTCCATAAAAATGTAGTACCATGTTGTGTATATTATAGCCAATAATCTCCCAGCAGTCTTGATAAAATGTTCCAGTATATCCATCAGGACCCCTAACACTATCTCCACTCAACTCAAACACTGTACCTTTGATCTCTTCTAGTGTTGGATATCTACACAACTCCATGTTTTGCTCCACAATCACCATAGAAGGTACATTGCCAAGCAAGGAAAAATTTGTAGGATCACCTTCTTTGGTAAAATGATTCTGGTAGAAGTCCACAACAACAACATCCAGTTGAACTTGATCATCAATCCTATCCCAACCTCCATTTTGAATCCTCTTCAGTTGCAGCTTCCTCCTTGCCATTTACATGATTGTGAAAAAAGATGTTATTTCTATCACCTTCAGCAAACCAAGTCATCCCAGTTTTTTGCTTCCAATATTGCTCCCCAATATTCAAGTACTTCTTCGATTCTACCTGGGCATGTTGGAGCGCTATTCTATTAGCAATTATTGGTTCCTCCTCAAATAACATCTCCTTCACCTTTACAATATCCTTCAAGATTGCCAACTTCTTGAAGATGTCACCATAAGTGACTTTACTCCACTGGGACAATGCAACCTTCACATTATTCAACTTGCTCTTGAACATGAGAAAAGGATCACAAATAAAGTCTACATGCCAATTCTGCCTCACCACATCTTTAATGAATTCATGTTTAGTCCAAAACTTGAGAAACTTAAATGGCTTAACATAATTTGAAGCTTGTTCTCCACATCTCAGGAACAGAGGGGCATTATCAGAACCAATTCTTATCAAGTGCTCTACCTCAATGGTAGAAAAAAGATTCTAGAAAGGAAGATTTACCAATATCCTATCTAGTCTCTTAAAGATACACTCAACATTGGGTCTTCCATTCCACCAAGTGAATGGATTCCCTTGTATCCTAGGTCAAACAATCCACTTGAATTAACACAAAATGCAAATTTTTCATACTCAGGAGGATACACTGGAAGACCACCAATCTTTTCATCTTCATGAAGTACCACTTTAAATTCTCCACCTACCATTCAGGGCATCTCCATATCACTTGCAAGATAGTACAAGTTATCCACAATTCCAACCTCTCAAGGGGTAAACATTTTGCATACACAAAAGTCATCATGACATGTTGCCCAATGTCATAGTGAAACACCTTAACAGTCACCTATTATGCAGTTTACATGACCAATTCTCATTCCGCATTAGCGTAAAAAAATAGCCAGATCTTTCCATTAATATTTGAAAAGCAGCTTCCACATTCAATCTTCTTATGTACCTTTGTATGTGCCTTTGATTCTAAAATGGTTCCATCAATGCAATGACAAATAAGAGCCCGTTTGGACATAAGAAATTTTTCACTTTTTTTTTGAAAATTTTTCACTTTTTCTCGGAATCAATGTTTGGCCAAAAAATTTACAATTTTCACTTGAAGATGTATTTTGGAATTTTTCGAAAATTTAAAAAACTTCAAAAAATTATTTTTCAAAATTTTCACTCATATCACTCACAAAACTTCAAAAACAACCCTAAATTATATTCATGTCCAAACACAACTCTAATTTTCAAATACTATTTTTACTTAAAAATTATTTTCACCTTTTTTTGGAATTTTACAATTCTTATGTCCAAACGCCCACTAAATTGTGCTCTCTTTGCATGTTGATCACCCTAGGAAAGGCCTTTTGTATATTCACAGACCTTATGTTCCAAATTAATGTTTTGATCATCATTTAGATTGTGACATTGCCCTTCTGGCATTACTTTTGTAGGTTGTGGTGCTTCCTTATTGTGTTCCTGCTTCTTACTTTTCTTACCTACCTTAGAACTAGCTCTACGAGATAGGTCAACCTCCCTTGCCATTTTATTGAAATTTTCAGCCGTTGACTCATCATCTCCTTCATCCTCAAATTGTTGTTGTTCCATTAGAGCTTTGTCAATCTCCACAGGAGCTACATTATGTGTCACTAGGTCATGTGAGGTGTGAAGAGGAGTCTTCAATGGTACATTGATCCGAAGCTGCATAATCTGCCCAGTTCCTGATGCACAAGACATTTGAATTGGCTCAGTGACTCATGATGCCTTTGGTACTATAGCCTGCTCATTTTGCCCTTTAGTCAGCATGTTTGCCTCCTCTATCACACTAGCATTATTCTCCATAGCTTCTAAAGCCTCCTGAATCACCCTAAATTGAAGCTCATCGACATTACTCAGGCTAGGGTTACTGTAGCAATCTGTGCAGATTTTATTGTTCCATTAAGATCAGAGGTCTTGCCATCAGTTGTTTGATGGTTTGACCTCACTGTATTCTTTAAGACCTCAACATTAACATTCCCAACCTGATCAACATTTAAAAACTCCACCGGATCACCTCTAGAATTGTCAAACACCTGGACAGTTTTACTGTTCCATTGGTGTTCTTTTTGCCAGATGACTCAACAGCTGATCCACCAGTGAATTTTGCTTGCCCTATTGATCCTTTATCACCTTCATTTTGTTGCATTGCTAGCTGATTCTTTTATCGATCATGATGCTCTACCCTAGGTTTTTGCCGACTAGGGTTTGTTGTAGCACTCTTGTTCATTGTGTCTGCCTATTCCAACTGAGTATTGCCCCTTTGATCATCAATTGTTGGAGTGTTGTTTGCAGTGAAATTGTCGTTCATCACTAGCACTTCATTACTCCATAAAGAGCTACCATTCTTAGTTGCTCTAGTTGAGTCAATTCTCCTTGGAGATTCTCCATAGGTTTGTGAGGGTATCTCCTGACAAGAGTGATGAAGTGTAACATTAAGTGCTTCCTTTGAGGTGCCAAATCTCCTTTGTACCCAGTCAATTATCCTTTTCTTAGTTGCTAAACCTCCAGTCCCAGCACCACTAGGATTAGGACTTCTTTTCTTTGTCGGCTCACTCCCAGGTTCCTTTCTTTCTTCAACCCTAATCCCTGTAGAACTAGGATTAGCATTACCATCCTTAGCCGCTACAGTAATTCCAACTGTACTTGGATTGGAGCTGGAATTATCAGCATTCCTCAACACCTCCTTCTCTTATACCTTCTTGGATTCATCCTCACGCTGCTTATTGATTTTTCCATTAGTAATTCCATCTCCCTTGCCATCAGTGATTATCAAAGTAGGTTGTCAGCTTCTTCAACTTCCAATGCATCAGACGTGTTGCTTGTTGTTATCACCTCACCATTATTTTGTTCTTCCCCTTGGATTTGCAGTCTCCGTTCCTTTGCATTCTCAATTATATGACCTCTCTTATCCCTTTGGCATTTTGCCTTCTTTGCATCCATTCCTGCCTAGACTGATTAGTAATAGATTTTCCAAGCACCTTTCCACTAGTCAAGGCCTTGGTCATATTAGCAGCTGTGCCCACAATTTCCTTGCCTTTGTCATGATCATCAACAACTTCTTCAAGCTTCCTGTGTAACTCTGGAGGGATAATCCAATGCTCCTGTTCGATGAACTAATTAATTTAGATACACTAATTTAGGGTTATTTTTAGACTAATTTTTAGTGCTAAGCAGAGTTGAAAATATTATAGAAGACTAACCATTTAAATTTTCCCCCATGGAATTTTTACCTCGTTTGACTTTTTTTAAAAGTTAATAATATAAATAACACTACTTTTAAAATATTTCAAAACAGTTTAAAAATTAGAATCCCATTAATTTAGGAATTAATTTCCCCCCTTTTCTCTCCCTGAACCTAATTTCTACTCCTATACTTTCACCTAGCCGTTCCATTCTACTCTCTCTCCCTTTTTTTTTTTTTTTTTTTTTTTTTTTTTGGCTTCATTACTTTCATTGCTGCTAAAGAAAACCAGGGATGATTCCATCACTGAGAACCTTCCTCCTCCATAAAAAAAACACAAATTCATCTCTTCATACTTTGCTTTTCATCTCATTCTTTTCTTTTCACACAACTCTATTTTGATTCAAGAAATCATCCAGATCGTTCAAATTTATGCTATATTAAATACCATCATTATATTATGTATAATTTTTATATATAATTACACACTATTATAATATCGTATATTTATTCCAGGTATATATTTAATTATCCATTATTAATAACATTAATACACAACTATATGTACAATGGCTGAAGAATTCATTATATTATGTATATTAATATATAGAATACTATTGTAATTTATACAGTATTGAATACCATTATTATACCGTGGGTATATGCATTTATACATAATTATAATATATTATTATAATACCGTGTATATATTTATTCCACGTATAAATTTAACTATCCATAATTGGTATATATAAATTGTTACCATTTTGTTAAAATGTGTTTCCCGAAGAAGTGATGGAAGGAATAAAAGGGGAATAAAAACTAAAACTGTGTTATGGAGAGATGAAACAACGAGATTATAGGAAGCGAATAATTAGTGGTAATCCTCGAGAGATTCTCGCTCATTGATTTTAGTTGGTATTTAATATGTTTCCTTATTATTTTGTTGCTATATTTGTTAATTAACTATTTTTGTTAAGATATTGTAAATTTTTACAATTTACGTTGCTTGTTACGAAGAAAGCCCAATTCTCATGAAGATAAAAGAATCGTAACGCTGGTTTTCAAGTTTGCTTTATTTTTTGGGATTGTTACATAAATAGCCGGTCATATTTACTGTTTATTTTTTCTAGTCGGTATACATAGATTATATATTGATTATATATTATTATACACATAGTATACATGAGTTATGCATATCTTATACATCCGCCAGTTATTTTTAGTTTAAGAAAATTAAGTGGACGACTATTTGGGTTAATTCTTTTTTTTTTCCCCTTTCCGAATGTTTGTTCTGTTAGCATGGATGTAATTGGCTGTAAAAGTATGACAGGATCTTGTTTTTACCTTTTTGTCTTTCATTAAAAGTCACCAACTATGCAAATTGCAATTGGCCGTTGGGTCCATTTTGGTTATTCTGTAGCTCTAGTATGATTTTCACCATGAAAATGTGATGTATTTGCTTCATGCCTATAAAAAGGTGAGCGCCTAGCGCGAGCCTTATTGGAAAGGATCTAGCTAACGATCAATCTTTTTAAAGCAAGAAGCAAGGTAGCTGCATGAAATTGCTTCTTAGGGCATATTCATTTTCTTGCTCTTTAGCACTTGACTTAATAGAAGGAGCCTTTCTTGCTTGTTTAGTAAAGTCGAGCTTTGGCAGTAGAGTTGGGGTGGGTTGCAGGGGCACGAGTGCCCTTAATAATTTTGAAGCTTTGATTGGCAAAAACGATTTTCGCCTTCTAACCAGTCGTTGCCGTATTAGCCTTCGGACTTTCCTTACCCGTTTTTATGTAAATTATTCAGGATTGTGCTATAGTAGTATTTGACTGAATTTTGGGAGCAGTAAACGAAACAAGAGTTGGAATTGTGGAACAGGCAATTGAATGCCAGATTATGCAGTGCTACTACTAGGTAGGGGTGGACGTTCGGGCAGTTCGGATTGAATATGAAAATTTTAGTTTGAAAATAGGGGTGAGCCTATGCCCGATTATATCGCATTTTTTAAGTTTGGTTTTGGATTAATCAGATTGGATATTTCGGATTTTCGATTTTGAGCCTATAATTTTAGATATTTATTTTTCTTAAAACAAAATGACCATCTAAATAAAGTATTAATGTTAAGTTAAGTTAACTTAGTAATTAGTACTGAATATATGAGATAATATCTAATAGATAGAGTTATTGGACTTATTAATATTGACATATGGATAATGAATTAAATATAAAGTATAAAAATTTCGGATTTTCGGATATCCAAAATCTGAAATTCCAAATCCAATATCCAATCCGAAATCTAATCCGTAATCCGAAAATCCAAATCAAAAATCCAAAAAATTCGGATTTCAGTTTGGATTTCGGGTTTGCTCAAACTATGCCCACCCCTACTGCTACTGCTAGGGCGATCCTCCTATTTGACACCCCTATCCCCGATATGTACAGTATACATGACATGCAAATAAAATCTGCAGTGGACGATAACGCAAAACCACCAATATACTTCATTATTTGAAAAACATGCTCAATATTTATCAGAAGCTACAACGTTTTAAGTTATTACTCAACACTGATGATTCAGAACATAAAACTTAACTTCTAAAAATAATTTGCATACGGAGAAGCAAATTCAAGAAACTCTTCATCCCGCTCCAATACTGACATATCTTGTTCACTCAACATGACTAACGCTTCGACCCCATCATCTCTGTAATTCATCAAATTGAACAATTTATTGTATGGACCAGTTCCTATGGTCGTTGCCACAGGTTTTCCCCAACCAAAATCGACATCATAGAACGGAAATTTACAAACACTGCTACAAGTGTAGTCATCCAATTCCTTTTTCTGTGGTGACAATCCTTTAGCTAATTCAAGTGTTTCCAATGCCCATGCATTTTCTTTGATATTATTGTTTACCCGAAAAACGGATAGAGTTAATTTGTACGTAGTTCTAAGGATACGTGGTATAGCTTAATACAAATCGTAAGGGTAAATAGAAGTATCAAATATGGATTGTAAAAAATGCAAAATGAGTAAGGTTGGAAAGAAGATGATTTCTAAAAATAAGCAAGATGAATCAATTAATGAAGCTTTAAAGAATAACTCTCAAATATAGGAGAATATGGTGCTTGAATTACAATGTAAGCAAAAAGCTGCCTTCTACAGAAATATAGCCATCCTCTTTATAGTGGAGGATCCTACTTTTTATAATTAAAAATACATAGTGGAGAATCCATGATAAATCAGCTTTTCCCTAATTTCCGTTGAGATTCTCTCTTTTAGTGTGTTCACAACGGCTCTTGTCTGTGAGCTCGAGCTCGATCGGCCTTGGTGCTAGTCGGTATTGCTTCTAGAACTCGATACGTACTTGGGATCAGGTGATGATTCGGACTCGATCTCGGTTGGCCTCTGCCCCTTAAGCCCGAAATCATCTCATCATAGTTCGATTCGGACCCGAGCTCGATAATGAGTCCGAACTCGGTATTCGATCTATACCCGAAATCTGAAGCCTTGTTTGTAC